AAGGAAAATAATGTACACTTGGGATTGTGTGGGCATAGAGTTTAATTTTTCTTTGGCTGTGTTTCGGTTGGAAAGTAGTTGGACTTAGTGGGTGTGTGGGCCCCATTTGAATTTCATTGGGAGTGGTGCTGCCCATATTCCATCCCGTGACCGCTCTACTCCTACTACCGCCGACCCACTCCCAACACTTCCCACTCACTCACGGGCATCCATTGGGTGTGCCCCACCACACGGTCCCTCAATATACACCCTCACCACCGTTCAATTCATCACCACTATCAATAACAATAACTCACCTCTATCTTGCACGTCACAATGTCTAAGACATCATATTGTTGTTGAATATATATGTTCTAATTTTTATGCATGAAGATAGCATATAAATTTTGATGATCTGGTTTGGTTATAAACATAGAACTGCATGCGTGTTCCGCTGCAAGAACAATTATATGGTGGTTTCCTAAATTTCCAACGGATAATTATAAAGCTTTTTACAAACTCTAACTTAGCTTATGATGTTTATTGTTAGATTATTCAACTAGTATAATTCGAATAACTCATGGATTATTTAATTATATTTATTGTATGTTTTTTGAAAAGCGAGCAGGACAAAATAAATGGAAGATTGAATTCATTAATTGTAAAATGGGTTATGAAAGATTTATTATTGTTGGGATTTGATATAACTGGAAATGCTTCCCTATTCACGGTGGGCACTGTTAATATGTCTACCGTTTATGTGGCATGCACACATTGATGATGTTAATATATTAAAAAAAATACATCACCAATGTGTGCCTGCCACATAAGCAGTTGACATATTAACATGTGTCCACCGTGGGTAGGGGGAGCATTTCCCTTGATATAACATATAAAATAGCTTGGTTGAACCGGTCACATGTAGCTCAAGTAAATTAGTTTTACGGCGGGTAGCTCGGATGAATTGAGTTTAAGTAGCTCGGGGGAGTTCTTTTAAGGATAGCTCGAACGACATGACGATAACACTCCAGTAGCTCAAACATAACGAGTAGGCCTATGTTTAACAGGTCGGTAGACCTACTAATATCACGTACATGTGAGGAAATTATAGACCTACCAACAGGATAATGCCCGCTCTCACTTGGGCGAAACTGAGGCCAAGGACCCAAACCAAAAATAGTACAAAACCTACCAGACAAAACACACAGAACACAAACAAACAAACACAAACACAACTAAAGCAAAACAAAGAAACAACCAAACAAAGCGAGCCCTTCCTCAACAGATCAACCAAAGGTAACCAGCAGACAAAAACAACCCAAAGAAAAATCCGCAACCTAAGATATCGCTCCCGAAACTGCCGAAACGCCTAGCTGAAACGGAAACTCAAACCCCGGACCAAAACCTGAAGCCGCCCGCCCTCCGACCTACAGAAAGCCAATCTCGCTCTCCACACCACCACTAGACCGAAACTGGCCAATACCACTAGCCAGATTCAATACAAGCGGTCCCACTTCGATCCCAACACCAAAGAACCGGGGAGAAGGAAGTTCGAAGGGCTTCAATGCCCCAACAACTACACACGACCGCCGGCTAGGTCCAGCCACTTCCGAGGACCATTCAAGCTCGCCCCCACACACCACCACTATCGCAAATCCGGCCAAACCGCTGGCCACGTCCGACGACAACGGACTCCTCTCTGATCACACACCAAGGAAACAAAGAAAGAAAAGGGGCGAGTGATACAACTCAGACCCGACCACCCCACTCTGAGACGATGCGAGCTGCCCGAGCCACTCCCAGCCCCCAACGCCGCACCCTTCTTAGAACCACACCAGAGGGGCATCGTTGGACCTCAACCACGAACTGGCACCAAAAAACCGGAGAAGCTCGACCGTGGACAACCGCCTGAACCCCTCAACCTGAGCGGGCAAAGAGGAGCGCGCAAGCAGGGCCATGGATGCGCGGCGAAGAGCTGAACGCCGACGAAGGCTAGTAAGCCGCTGAGAAAGGCGCACAAGAGATGGCAAATAGAGTACACCTGAGAAAGGCGCACTAGAGATGGCAAATAGAGTACACCGATCGGCGGAATTTGGGGGGGAAAGGGAGAGAAAAAAATTAGGGCTTACCTTTAATGAAAGAATCGAGCTTTGTTTGTTTACTGTGCAAGTTGAACAACTGAAAAGGAGAGAACGGAAAAGACGAAGGAGAGGAGGAAAAACTGCGCGCTTCATTAAACACATTAAGGACAATATGCGGGATGCATCCCTTGTTAGTTAAATCCCAATCATGGATTTAAGCACATTTTCCGTTGGGGTGATATATCCCTTCAGTTTTATTTGCACGAAAACAAATAAATATATTTCATGCTGATCTCCAGACAAGCAGACTCGGTATCACGGACAAAAACCAACTAGTTATAACACAGAACGAAATAATAATATACAACCCAAAGATAGTTACAGAACCACATAACCGTGCAGTCGGAACACGAAGAAACAAACTACCAAGTACAAGTACTCTCCATCACCTCCACATTTTATTTCGACTCTAGATGACTCAAATACTGCGTGCTATTGCTCAAACAGGCTATATATACAAGGAGCACATCTACACAGTTGTCTTTCTAACAATCTCTCATCCTCACTCATATACAGAGGAAAGAGAAATCTAGAAAAGCTAATAGAGACACATGGGACAAACTCTTTCCTCGGTTTCTGCCTGTGAAACAGAATGGCAGTAAGAAGGATCTCAATGAAATTTGGTGGTCCTGTACATCCCATTGAGAATATACTTCGTTCTGGATTTGGCCAGTAGCAAAGCATCATACAGACGGTATCTTATTTCTCACCACCACATTGCTTTGAAACCCACAGTTACTCGATAGCAACTTCCTCTGTCGGCATTAATCAGAGCACATTTCAGAAAATCACCATCAGCATTAAAAATGGAAAATTACGGAGAACCACTAACAACATTAAAATGCATCTTATGTTCTGATAAATCGTGACACTGTAAAGGTTGTTTTCGGAAAGAAAAAAAATATATATTCAACAAGCAAATTCCTATCAACTACTCTTATACGGTCCAACAACTGCATTTAATGTAGGGATTATCCAATATTATATAACCTTCCGAACATGAGTTGATTTGCAAATTATGACTCAAAGAGAGATTGAATACATAACGAATTATTGATATACGACCACCCATACTTCTTGAACGAAAACAATTACTTTATCTGTGAAATGTCATACTTTTGTTAACATTAAAATATGGTATGAAATCTATAATTATGGATGTATGTCAATCTTTCAGAAGAAGTTCTAAGAATATCAATATGCAACAAAACTAATAAAGAAAGTTCAACTCACATGGTGCTCAAATTCAGGGCTAACCAAATTGACAGATAAATTCTTCATTAACATCACCGCCTGCAGTAAAGGTTGCAACCTCTTGAGTATGCCACGACTCGATAACATAAAGCGTATAGTGCAAGTAAAACAAAAGTAAACATAAGCACATTACCATAATCTAGCAAGAAATTTAAAACAAGGCTAAAGCACCTCATAATATGTAAGGAGCAAGTGCACACATAGGGGTAGGAAAGGAGGATGGACAAAAAAGTCCCATCTGGACTTGGATCAAGTGAATATATGTTCCTAAAGGATACATTAAATGCTAGAGATCAACCGACAATGCAGCATGCAGAACAGGTTATATGCAATTGCTACAACTCTAATGCAACAACAGAAATCTGACTCACCGTCTCCACATTTATAGGGTCCATTGTTTTAAGTCTTTGCAAATGATCACTAGCAGTAGGGTCAAAGACACTGCCAATGAATCTATAGACCTGAGCAAAATCTGGCATAACTGCATCCACGAAACCCGAGCAAGTCAATAGTGGCAAAATTAGAAAGATTTCAAGTACTATTGTTTTGATCTGATGTTTAAACCAACAAGCGAATAGTATATGACATTCACCTCTCCTATAGATTTTTAGACATAACAAAACTAGATTCGAAGGCAGAAAACTAGAGCTGCTCAGTTCACCTTTGTACAATCCTGACAAATCCTAACTTATTCTGTGGACATCACAGGCCTCACTGAGAAAAACAAGAGACAGAAAAAAATAAACCAACCTCTTGAAGCATTATTGCAAGGTTTCATTGCACAGCGCATCTCGTTCAATTTCTCCACACTGGAGTTGTTCTCATTGCTGCCACTGCTATACTTATTGGTAGCACTAGCTAATCCAATATCGTCTGAAGAACAGAAGAAACTTTTTAGTTTTTACCACCAATCTCCACAAATAGAACATCAGCATTTCCAATAAACAAACCAGTACCTTTTGACGTATGCGGCAAAATGCCAGCCGCCATAACATTGTAATTCCAAGAAGACAAAGGTGCAGAGCTCATTGGATTTCCAGATATTGACAAGGAATCAGACCCTACACAGTATCCAGACTCCACTAAAGCAGCTGAAGATTGCAGAGGACCGGTGGCTTGAGACACAGCTGTGTAGTTACAAGGAGAATATAATTCGAACCTCATAATACAATAATACAATGTGTAAGGTAACAATACAAAACGAAAAGACAGCAAACCATTTTTTGAGGCCTTCTGTGGATAAGGATGAGCTGCTTTCCTCTTTGGACGTGGGGGAGGTACATGTTCACTTGTTCCATTTTTCTGGACTTTGAGAAAATATTTCTGAGCATGACTTCGAATCTGCAGAACATTCACCCTTTTAGCTCTGGAAAAAGAATGCTGATGCTCAAGCATTTTTGT